CATGATAAACAGTGAAGTGTGCAGGAATGTGCAGCTCAGTCACACAGGGGGACTCAGTGTGCTGCACCTGTACACACCTGTACACACCTGTACACACCTGTACACACCTGTACACACCTGTACACACCTGTACACACCTGTACACACCTGTACACAGCCTCGCTCTGACAACAAGATGACCAAAGAAACTCAGGATTTGTACCAACGTATTGATTCGTGTGTGAAACAACAAACGTTGTGCTCTGATACCAACGTGAGCCTCCATCCTCCTGGATCAATACATAGATGCAGCATGGACCAGAACCAGAGAACAGAGGAGCCAGTTGGTGGAGATACATCCAGCTGATGATGGAACATCTTTCTACATGTGATGGTGGAACATCTTTCTACAGCTGATGAGCAGAGCAGAGAGGAAACGTCTGAAGACATGAAGATGGTTCAACATCTCCAGGACGAGGAGACGACATGCTTTAAAAGAACATGTTGGACATGTTGAAACAAGCAAATGTGAAGTAAAACAGTCAAAGCGGGACCCAAGGTGGCAACAGAAAGACGTGAAACAAGCAAAATGTGACGCAAAACTACCATAAAAACATTTGTTCTGAGTCCTGCTGACAGAAGACATCTCTGAGTTTGGTCTCCTTCATGTTCTGGTTCCTCAGAGTTGCAGGACTTTATGTAGCAGAGGAACATGAACCTCAGAGAAGGAACACGAGACAGAAGCTAAAACAAGCAGAAACTTTTGCTGGAGTTCAGAGAGTTAAACACACAAACGTCAACTCGCCCTAAAAACACTGAAACTACAAACTTCACTCTGAAGGAAAGTTTGCTCAAAGACGCTGAGGCGGCGTCTCTCTCTGGTGGAAGTGGAGACGACCAGCTAATCGTTACCTCAACACGGCCCAGAGCAAATTCCAACCACGGGAGCTTCATAAGGGCATCATAAATGAAGCATGGTGCTGCTGAAGCCAGAGTGTGCAGGTGTGAAGGAGCACAAGTCACATTGTTGGGTTGGTTTCATGACGGACAACATCTGGTCTGTCAGAGACTCATTCAGCTCCAGAAACTCTCCGCTGTGTCATCTGAGTGGAGCGTCTCCACCTCCTCACCTATCTCTGCACCGTGCTTAGTCATCAACCACTAACCGCTTGGTCATCAACTATCAACCGCTTAGTCACCAACCGCTAACCGCTTAGTCATCCACTATTAACCGCTTAGTCATCATCCGCTAACCGCTTGGTCATCAACTATCAACCGCTTAGTCATCAACCGCTAACCGCTTAGTCATCAACTATCAACCGCTTAGTCATCAACCGCTAACCGCTTAGTCATCAACCACTAACCGCTTGGTCATCAA